GAGGATTTAAACTGTGTGGTGGTGGCAATTCGGAGTTGTTTCAGTCGTATTTAAACACTGAATCTCCATTAGTAAAGGTACGGCTGTTATTTTTGGGTCAGTTCATCCTTAACATCACTGTACGCGGCCAGGAGCGCGTGGACTCCGTTGGCATTACGACTATGACTCAAAAGGTTTACGGTAACCTCGTACATGGTGGTAAAGGCGGAACGGAGGGTTTTATTGAGCCGGCGGTGGGCAACACTATTGACTCCGTTGAAGTGCACTGGGACAAGAACAAGGGCAAGACATGCATCTTCTACATCAAGATGACTACTTCTGGCGGTAAGACGATCGCCACGGGAACGAAAACGGGCAACGCTGCTGTAATCAAGCCGCCCAAGAACTACCAGCTTGCCGGTTTCTACGGCCGTGACAGCAGTTCCGGTATTTTCTGTATTGGTGGGATCTTTACGAAGCAAGCAACTATGGACCTGGCAGTCACGGACGTGATGGCTATCACCACTGATAGCTCCTCCGATGTCTACAACTACAACACCACCATCCGCAATTGGGTTGGGCCGCTGGAAACCGCTGACGATACCGCTTGTTACCAGAAGAAATTCGATGTCAGTAGCCAGGGCATGTGTCCGTCGGGTTTTGACAGAGATGATGATAAGTGCATTTCCCAGTGCCCTCTCAACTACCCCGTACACTGCTTGATGGAATGTATTCCTCAAAATGCCGACTGCACTCAGGAAATCGTCTCTAAAGTTGCATCTGTGGTCGCTGTTGCCTTAAATGCGGCCACACTTGGTGTCTTTGGCACGCTGGTGTCGGCTTACAAGACCGCCAATTTCGTTCTTATGTGTGCCATCAACGTCGTAAACGCCGTCAAATCGCTCATTTACTATCTGCGTTATAAGCAAACGACCATTCCGAAGACCGACACGGAGAAGTTGATGGACAAGGCCTTCCAGATGCAGATCGTCATTCTCGACCTACCTGTGGCTGTCTGCGCTTGCCTCGGTATCAAAATCCCTCCAAAGCTTCAGTTCTCAGCCACCATTCTGGCTGTTGTGTCTGCTATTGTAATGATGGCTGTCATGGTTGGTGAAATTTTATTCGCTAGTCAGGATAACGTCATGCTAATGCTCCGTGAAGTGGGAGCTCTCAACAACACTGTTCCCAGCAGTAAGATCGACGAGCTTGACACATTCCTCCACTCTAAAAACGGTACGTGTGGCTACGAGTTGAGAACCCTCACGAACCGCGTCATGGGCAAGGTCTACGAAATCCGCAACAATACGCCCAATGCTGCTCCGAATGATGTGCGCGTCGCCGTTAGCAAGTCGCCCATCATCACAGAAGACATCCCGGTCGTCACCAACCACTGTATGGGGGAGATCTGGAAGAATAAGACGAGTGCGGCGGCGTACAAAACGCGAAACCTGTTGCGAAAGACGATCGGTGTGATTGTTGACCAGCTGATTGAGGACGGTACGACCGACATGGGTAAGTCCGTGACCAAGAAGGAGAAGGCACTCGAGTACTCGAACTTGGGTCTCTTCGTCTTGTCCATTTTAGATCCTACGGGTATTGCCTGGATGGCTTCCGAATTTGTTCAGCCCATTTGTGGTCCCAGTGAGTACCTGGGTGAGATCGACGACGGTACTCTGTATGATGCTCTGGGTCTCAATACTGTCGACCAAGCATTCCTGGGAAGCTACGGTGTGTGGAAGAAGAAGGGCGATGGCTCCGTCACGGTTTACTTCGAGAGTGTTGACAAGTACGATGTGTCTGTGGTGATCAAGTCTGGTGGTGACAAGCTCAAGGAGGTCAAGGTGCCTGCTAACGGCAACGTCACGTGGACGTCTACGGTAGAGAAACTGGGGGACAAGACATTGTACCTCGATCGCTGGCGCCCTGGTCTCTTCGGTCTGCCTGGTACGGGAGGTGGTTCTCTACTGATGTGGATCCCTCGATCGTCTGAAGGAGGCCAGCTTATTCTCCATGCTCGCCTGAATGTAAGCTAACCGCGATCATCGTGAGTGGGCCAAGTGGAAACTCTTCTCAGATCGTATCAGCAGAGGATTTCCTTTTTTTTTCATAATGGAATACCGTTTGTCGTTTTCAAACACATGGGCTGATTACTGTAGTAGTTGAAGTACTACTTCGAGTTACGTAGTATATTCGTTAAAGTACTTTACTACTGCTGCTCAGGAAGCACCTACTACAACAATCCAATGTATTTAGGGAGACTCGGCGGTCATCATCCACATTAACCATGGTGCGCGCTGAAGAAGAACACGAAACCATGCGCCCTTGTGGGTGTCACACTGGACGGCCGTGTACGTGTGAAATGGGCAAGAAGGCTGTACTTTCTGAAACATTTTCTTGCGGCTTGTGTGTTAACTGCCGACTCAATACTCGCGAAAAGACTCGGGCCAGCAAGAGATCGTTAGAACCACGAAGGTGTCTAAAGAGCGCAGAATACTTCGCGGACTTGGACTTTGACCGGGTGGTTTTACGTGACGACTGCGTATTTCGAATGCGTAAACCGGACTGGAAGTAAGTACTTTAAATGGTGACATCATGCATGACATCAATTGCTTGTACTGACAGCGCTTACGTATATACTGTATCAGTCTGGCTGAGAAGACGCCATTGTACAACCAGCTTCATCAAATGAGACTCGCTATGGTCGAAACTCGAGCAATCTCACTAGCCACAATCGATGGTCAAAAGAGGTTGCGAATTAAGATAGCGAACGACTTGCGAAAGGCCGAGGATGCTATCAAGAAATTGGAGCCGGGGAAGTAAGGAGCTGAGGATTTCTTATGGTAGTGTATTTACCATATTAACTCCAAATGTCGTTTACCATACATAGACAAGCGACGCCCGTGAGAAAGATGACCAAGAAGCGGTCTTGCGTGGACTCGGATGCTTTCGATTCATATTCCACACAGTTAATTGCCGCAGAAACGCTTCTCCCGGATTTACAAATGCGTCTTGAGAAGGCCAACGCAATAATCTCTTTAGAACAACAGAATATCAAGGTAAGCACTCAACCTAAATTTTGTTACTTCGGACATTAAATCATAATGCCGTGTAGATTATCCGCGTGTACGTTCGGGACTTTGCTGTGAGGAAACTGCAGTCATCTATAAGAGCGTATCTCCGCTTCCATCGATGGAGAGATGTATTGAAAACATTCCATGAAGACGTTCACTTGTCTGCAGCGCTGGAGATTCAAGCGACCTGGCGAATGTATACTGCCAAGAAATTAATATGCTTGCTAACATCACGTCGCCAAGAGAACGTCAGATCTAATGCAGCGACAGTAATCAGACGATTTTCTGTCGGAGCGATTGAAGCAAAGACCCGAAAGACTACGGTATCTGCCCACGAAGTCGAAGTAAAAATACCAGCGCAAAACGAAAAATCGGTCGACGCATTTTTTTACATTTTTGGTCGTGTCGTTCTCACCAACACGCTTGCAACTTGGAAAAAATACACAGTTGAGTCAAGGATACTAGCAACACGGAAAACGGTTCGTCTGGTGGAGTAAAATATTCTCTGATATTGTACTTCTGACATGCTTTTGCTGAAGGCTAGTGCTATCCTCATTCAGCGTGTGTACCGTGGCCTTCGCGATCGGATGTCGTTGAAGCGTATTAAAATACGAAGATCTCTAACAGACCGTGTTGGGGCGCTGGTCGACAAATTCATTGTATCAGGAGATTTCTGGGGCTTTATCCTCGAGATCGATGCTGACTATCGACGCTTTATGCACAAAATCGCGGAAGAGGAAGAAGATGCGGCAACCTTCTTGTCAAACGTAATTCGTCAGCGTAAGCATGATGAGGACCAAATGATGCAGGTATTTATCTGGCTTCCTGGGGGAGGTATTTGAATACTAAGCATAGTTATTTGTATGCAGGACTGGTTCACTGCCTCAGCGTTGCAAAATCCTCTCGTCAGTGGCATCGACCAAGTCAAAAAGACTTACACACATGAGGAAGGCATTTCAAGTGGAAGCTCTGTTTCCCAAGCCATGCTGCAATCACCTCTGGTTGAGGACCTCATGGCTCTAAGTCCGAACAAGAAGAAGGACGACATTTTTCCTCCGGATTTTCCTCCAAAGATAATTCGACAAGCGATGGCCAAGGGATTCGCGGTGAGCGAAGTTATTGCTGTCATGTAAGTTTGCTCCTCAGTTACACTGCCTCGAGAGTCTAATAGTGCGTTTCGTTCAGACGAGGGCTACAAGCGCAACGAAAAGATATTGAAGACGGAAACTTGGTCGTGGCAACACTTCAGGAGCGCTCACCATTAATGACGAATCCTTGGACATCTGAAAGAGTTCTACGTGCATCACGAAGCTCAGAAAAGCCACGTGTTCATCCGATTCCCGTCACTAAGCCCATTTGTAAACATCTGAAGAAAGTGGTAGGTAAACGACAGGCGAACTTATTTATCTCCGCGAATCTATTGGAAAGTATTCCAGGCGGAATGAATGCACCGGTTGCAAGGTTGCTGCTAGTAGCTGGACTGCGTTGCTACGATCCAGGTAATCGGGGTGAAAAAGGAGGATTTAAACTGTGTGGTGGTGGCAATTCGGAGTTGTTTCAGTCGTATTTAAACACTGAATCTCCATTAGTAAAGGTACGGCTGTTATTTTTGTGTTAAGCTTAAATCATCATGCACTCTCTTGTGGGAGCAGATAAGGACAGAGCAACAAACTATGGAAGCTGTGAAGCCATTTCTCAACATCCTGCTCGAGAATCGATGCTACACTGCGTACGATATTCTGTACAACGTGCGAGGTGTTGGCGAGTTAATATCCTGGAATATCCCACGTCCTCTCGCGAAAAGCATCTACTGTGTTATCCAAGCGATCCAAGCGCAGAGCAGTCATGTTAGCAGACGCAATATCGTACGAGAAGTTCGTGTCAGTGCTGACTTTGAGCGCTTTCTCAAAACTGGGGGACGTAAGCGAGAAGAATTGCCTTCTCTTGACCCGAAAACAGCTAAAAAGGACTTGAAATCGCCTGAAAAAACCGATCAAAACGCTGAAGCAGAGGCAAGCAGCGCGTTGATGCAAGTGCAATCCAGACTTGAGTCAGACGTACTCGGGCTTCCCCTTCAGAATATCTCAATATCTGCTTGCGAGTTACTGTTCAAAGCTGCATTCTTGACAGACACTGAAGATCCGGCCACAACAAGCACATATCACAATTTCTTGCATTTACTCCTAGAATTTCAAGTTTCTGGAGACACTGAGGCCATGCGGCAATTTATCGCAGCTCGAGTTGTACGTGCCAAAGCCATTGCTGATGACCACACGTCCATTTTCCAGCTGTTTGGTGTAGCAACTGCCAGCGACTTAGTGGTAAGATATGCACTTAATATGTCAAGATATTAATCATACTCACCGTTTTGATCTCGTTACCTGAAAACAGACAAACGATTTGCTTCAAGTGCTGGTACGAGATCAATCCCTACAGCAAAAAGTGATCGAATTGCTTGGTTCACTTCTGATTTCCAGCCCGAAAACTTCACTGCAACTTGACAATTCAATAACCCACCAGAGCTCACCATTCGAACGCGCCAAGCGTCCCAATCTCTCTCCTCTGCTTCGACATGCTAAATCTGTTATCGATCCATTAGGTAAAACCTAAGGATGGTAAGATTTTAGTTGCAAAGCTCCAGCGTCGAGCTGAGAGATGCTTCTAAGATCATGAGGTGTGTGAAGTCATTCTCAACGGATTGGGAATCTGCGTTACTCCGTCCTGATGTCGATTCTTCGATTTTCAGCTGAAGGCGCTTGCTGATTCGCGTCAACACATCCCTGATACCGTGATTGGTAGTTTTTGTTTGGATGCCTGTTGTGTTGTCCTGTTTCATGATTAAGAGTATCGAAGATTAGCAAACTGTATGAAATTATTTGACCTCAAATCATCCACTGACCTTGTCGCGGATGTATAGAAACCGAACGAGACTCAAACAACTTGCAACTAGATCAGCATGCAACACAAGGTCGCGTTCTGCAGATTTGGTCAGTGTATCTTGAAGCAGCAAGCAGATTTCTGTTGTCTTGAAAGCTATTTAGACAAAAAAGAGAGAGAGAGAGAGAGAGAGAGAGAGAGAGAGTGGGAAAATTTAGTCCGTTTGTTGAGGTCGTTTGTGCTGGATACGTACGTGATTGTGAATTCGTCTCAGACGAAGACCAGGACTGAACTGCATCGTTGCGAACAAAATCTACCAGCACGGCTGCAACATTTCCATACGGGCACTTAATGATCAGATCTCGGAGAATCCAAAATCTAATAAAACGTAAAAAAAATAAAATAATAATAATAATAATAATAATGGAGTGTGGTGTTAGTGAGAGATTACGAGAAAAGGATCAGCTTACTGTACCGATCAGTGACTGCAATCTTGGACACCAGTTCTTTCAGAACAGCTAGAGTTGACGACCTATCGTTGACCTCAGGAAATGCAACCATTGCGTTTGTGATGACCTGAATCAATGGAGACATCCAATCTCGTTTGCGAAAAGCTGCAAGAAGTATGCATTAACAACTGTAGACATCTTATTAAAAGCACATTGCCATCGCATCACGTACATGCAGCTTGTTGCCGGAATGACAGAGAAGTGTCATTGTTCTCGTCACGTCCCCGCTCAGCATCGAGCGTAAGTTTGTCATTCGGGCAAACATCACAGATAACTCGCAGCACTTCGAGACCACAAAGGCGTTCCTAATCCGGTCCAATAGACAGAAGCACCTCAATATCGTGGCAATTTACCGGCCATCCTATAACAACACACCATACCTGATGATCTTTTGAGTGGATCATGTAGTGCGCATAGGCAGCAATATGGAACAGCCACGAGAACGGCGACACAGCCGCAGGCATCACATTAACCCCATGCTGCTCATCTGTAATCATCGCGTGCACAAGATTCCCAATTCCGCGGTAGGACCAGGCAGTAAAGCTGTACTCCTGCCCCGACGTCTGTAGGAAGTATCGATACTTCGTTAATCCCCACGCCTTGGCCACTTGTTCGGTTATCCACTGAGTATCCTCGCTCTCAAATTCCCCAGTATGTTCTGACAATCCCTCATCATCATCCGAGTCCAACTCCGACTCTGCTTCCGAGTCACTCTCGTACGATGGTAGGAGCGCTCGTCGGCACTCGATCAGCTCTTCACGGAAGCGAAGTGTAGCCAGGATCACGTGGATCTCCACCCCACACAACAACACTTTGGCCACAAGGCGTGACTTTATCTCGCTATCTTTCGAAACCTTTGCAAATAGGTACAAGAGAGCTGCAATGACCACTCCACGCTGACTAACAGCCTCTTGCTCGTCGTCCAAAGCGTCAGCAACTAACACCGTCGAGTGTATCAATGGTTCGATGAATTGGAGGCACAAATCGACCCCTTCCTGTGTCGAGATTGTAAATTCTCGACTGTCTACATCGCTCATACCATCTATCTCGTCATTAGAGACCAGACTGAAGACTTGGCGCAGCACGACCGAGCAAGCATCTTCCAGGAACTTCCAGCGCTTACGTTGGATGTCACTTAGAGCTGCATAACGCAGTCAATACGTCGAATTTAGACACATTTCTGGTGTAGAAACATCGAGCAGCAATTCACCTTCATGCACTACTGCGAATTGAGCGCGTAGGTCCTCTATAGACGCCGCGGCCGGCAGCCCAGCAAGCGCATCTAGCAGCTCCTCCTTTCCCATTCCAACGGGGTATCAAATGCACATTTTTGACCAATAAAAAGAAAGATCTTGATTCGTACTTAAACGAGCTCCAAACGCTCATCATCAGATATGGCTACATTGAAGTGGTTGTGTCTCTTGCTGCGCAACATGAGCCGACGTGCCGTCTCCAGCTCCCGCTCCAGCTCCAGTCGAATCGATCGTCGCATAGTTTCTTCCACCTCTTGCAGACGCTTTTGCTTGGTTTCTTCGTCTTTCAGTCGTCGATGCTCCTCTATAGTTGGGTGGCGACGTAATCGCTCGCTTTCTTCGCTCTGACGAGTCTTGGCGTCTGCTAAGCGCTGCTGAAGACTCTCAATCTCGGACTGCAGCGTTATTTCTTCCTTCTCCAGTTGCGTGTGTTCTGCTAGTGCGTACTGGAGTGACTGTTTCTCCTGTCGCCAGAACTCTTGAGCCCGTTCTTCAGCAGAACGCAGCGGTGGCCACGTAGCTGCCATGATACTTGGATATTCTTCGAAATCAGGAAGATCCACCAGTTGACGTTGTATGACGCGCTTTCCTAGAGTTCGTTGGACTATTCGAGCAGAGCGTTCAAGACGTTTTAAATGCATCAGGTGGCGATATGCTCTCGAATAATACTTGATCTTGGCTTTCGAGACGGATATCCGCCATGCTCGTTGAATAATACGCGCTGATTGCTCGCGTCTTCCAGAGTACTGCCGGTGATACCAACGCTGAAGTTTGACTGCATTCTGTAAACGTCGAGCTCTTCGCTTGCGGATGAAAGGGATCAAGAATGAGGTCAAGACAGCAAGACCAAGCTTTGTCCTCTTTTCCACCCAGTGTTCACGCCACCGTCGTTGGATTCGAAACGAAGCCTGACGTCGCACAGTTTTTCTTCGTAAGGATCGATACGATAGATAATCTACAAGTAGTCGTTCAGCTCGATTCCTCCGGTATAGTGCCTCGCTCTTAAGCTGGCAATAGCGTCTCCAAATGTACTGAATGTAGGCAGCTGCAACATGCTGAAGCTTCCGCTCCATGCGCGAAGCTTCACGCTCCTCTTTCAATATCCTCACACGTTCAGCTTCTGCAAGTTCATTCTCCATTTGCTCTACTCGGTAAGCCTAAGAAAAAAGGTTAGACCAGCATCGGGAGCATAGATGTAGTCATTGATGCACCTGCTGTAGTGCTCGGTCTCGAGCACGAGCTTGTCTCCTCCTCGCACATTCCACCACTCGCCTTTGCCGATCAAGGGAGTTATCAGAGAAGAATCGATTCTATGAAGCATCATTAACATACGCGCTTGTGAGCCTGAATCACCCCGTTTGTCGCTTACTCGACCACTAACCGCTATAGTAGCTGCAAACGCATACTGTCGAAGATGCTGCGAGCTTGATTGGCGATGCAGTAGCTGTGTAGCTGTAGCTTGGAAGTCCCTACCGCTCATTTCTACTAAAGACCATCGACTTAAACGTGGGGGAGGAACAAATCAACCAAACTACGTTCAAAAATAGTTGGCTGGTGGCTTAACCAATTGGTTCGGTTTCAATCTGGAGAGTCTCGGGTATAGTAACCCCGACGATGCTCTGTGAGTTTGGGTCGTGAGTAGTTTTCATGTCGACGTTGATTAATGATGGAGCCGTTCCTTCGCTTCCGAAAAATGAAGATCTTCCTCAATCTCGACGGGCTAGTGTCCGTCGACCTAGTAGTGCTCGCTCCAGCTTCGTGCAGCAAAAGCTTCAAACAGCGTTATCACAAGCGGAAAAGACCTCACACGAATTGACCCAAGGCTCACATTTTGAACACTCGTAAGATCCTACGTTTGTGCTCTTGTAGTTTTGATTTTAGTACTCATGATTGTTGATTGTATCGATAGCGAGGATTCTCGGGCTCCAGGAAATGGTCACGTGGATCGTAGTACTGCTCGATATCGTAGCGCAGCAGGCGTCGTTTCATTCACAGACCCTGCTACTGCATTCAGTTACTCAGCGAGTTTCATGCCAGGAGTTCATTTCTACACATTCCTAGCAGCGAAAGAAGCTGCGCCTCCAACAACAGCTAGGGGGCGAGCAAATCACAGCAATCATTTTTCGGGTAGTAATCACGTATCGGGAAACGAGAACTATGGAAACCACGGTAACCCAAGACTGACAGCGAGAAAGCAGAATTTAAAGTTGAATGTGCCCGATACGATTTTATATGGCGAGACGGGACGAGCTGTATGGATTTACACTGACAAGGAGGGGTATGTGCAGCGATCAACCGAGTTTAGTGACAAGCAAGTGCTCGACAAATTTGTAGAGTGTTCTCCGAGAGCAGACGACAAGCATTTAGTAGTTTATAAAGAACCTATGACTACGATGGCTGCGATGAGTCGTCAAAATGGTCATGGACCGGCAGTATTCAACTCACAAGGAAATCAATTGCGCTTGCTAAACCTCGGTGAGGTCAGGACTCTTTTGAATGGAGTGATGGCCATGCACAAGTCTTTTGCTCTTCAACAATTCATTAAGTGCAACGGATCCAAAGCCTTTATACAGCGAGCAGTGTACGAAGCTGGAAAGCCAGCACATGCGTGGATGATCAGTAATGTTGAGCCATTCCGAGACCCCAATGCTCCATCGCCGTACTCTCCTGGTACCGCACAGCAGGTCTCACCACGACCTGGGCTAATTCGATCAAATAGTTCTTCCACAATAGCCGCCACTGGCTCTGAAGGCACGGTTCCTCTTGTCAGCCGCCTCTGCACCAGTATTCAAACCGACAAGGCGTGCACTTTCGTCAAACTTACCGAGCGCGGATGTGCTACAGTCTCCGAGCTTAATCTACGCGTACGTATCAAGGCACCTACAAAATGTTTCTTAATGACAACTAATCTCTTGTTTGGTGCTTGTACAATACTCACAGATAGTTCGATACATTGAGCATCGGTTGCATATTTCAATCCAGACGTTTGTGGCCGATTTTGTTAAAGATGCCGTCGGGGAGTGGTGGTTGCTGCAGGTGAAGGCCTTCCAAGTACAGAGTAAATTTCATCCGGGTCGAGTATTTTCCTTGCCACCTAAATTACGAATGGCCTATTTGAATTATCGTGATACGGCGATTCTCGATGACGACGACGATGATGGTTTTGACGAAGATCGACGTAGTAAAGCAAGGTATCGTTACTACCGCCGAACCATTGCCCCTCTGTCCCAGCGTAATATCCACAGACTCGTCCAGTGCAAGTGCTGTCTGGCAGCTTATCCTAGTAGCGAGCTTTCGTTCAAGATGACGTTGAAAATGATCAGTGATATGCTTTTACGGATACGTTCTCGTCTCCCACAAGAGAAAACATTATCGGCCCCATTTGCTCGAGAGCTCCCGGAATCAGCCGTAGCGTACGAATCGTGGAGTGTTTGCAGCTTTTGTTACGCTATCTACGAACGTGATCAGCAACTGCAGCGTATTGAGACCAAATTTTCAGCAGCATTAGGACTTCCTAACACCAAGACTATGGATGAAGGCCTGAGTCGAATTCAAGACCGAAGCTACGTGTTGGACCCGGCAGTGACTGCTTCCGTCATGCCTTCGCAGCTTACACTTTGTCGGTTGGTGTTAGTGATTAACGCGATATACGATATCCCGCCTGAGCTGTATAATGCCGAACTGGAAAATGCCCGGATGGAAGCGGCTGCAGATGAAGTTGCAGCAGCCGAAGGACGGAGAAGGTCGCAGCGTGCTAATGCATCGCGGTTGTATTTGCGTATTAATGCATTGGGGTATACAGAGTGCATTCCAATTAATCCAGACGATATAATGGTGGCCAGCGAGAAAGCACCAGTTGGAGCGCGTCGACGAGATAGTGTTGCGAGCTCTGCGAGTGACGATGATGATGTAGAGTCTCGTGACGACGCTAATGAACCTCAGTCTGCCCAGCATCAAGACACCTGGAAGCGGTTGCCACATTCTCAGATTACCCCCTCGTCATCAAACAATGAGGTTAACTACTGGCTTCCCACGAGTTTAATCCGTACCATCCCGTTCTTCGCCCCACGCACACCGTTACAGTCAAAGTTAAAGGAGACAAGTGGTATCGCCCCATTCCTGACCGAAGACAATAGTGTCCGGGTCCAGTTAATCCGTGCTACCGAGCCTCCTTTGCAGGACCCGACAGAATTAGCAGTAAGACGAAGACCGAGGAACCGGCGGGCTGCACTTGTACCTGCAGCAGGGACTATTTCAGACCTTGTATCACAAATGCATGGACCCTCTCATTCCGTCGTACTTGGATCTACGAAAATCCGCATGACGCAGTTCAGAAGCTCGTATGTGACCAAGATTGACTACTACGCTTGTATGGCTATTACAGGCGAAATGCTAAACATTAAGGGGAATATCGGTTTAGAGCGTGTACGCTACGTGGACTCTAAACTCCTCACGTCGCAACATCGTCTGCGAGTTTACAATGGAGTATTTGTGCCTGATGAATCGTACACAACGGGCGAACCCTTATCCTCCGAGTGGATGGACTGCTTTCGCGCTTCAAGCTATGTGAAGCGACTCCCAGCGACTAACACCACAACAGTCGAACCTGTTGAGAGTATAAAGAAGAGTGTAGTAACCCGCCGAAATAGTATGATAGGCAATCAAGGTGACAATCAGCCACGTCGTGCCTCCCGACCGACTTCATCCAGAGTGTCACTGATGGACGAAGACGAAGAGATGGACATGGAACTCGAGCAAATGATCGAGAGAGCCAATCTGAAGCAGCAAGAAGCTTATTTCCAACAAATGAATCCAGCGCACCAGTCTCCTAACAACAACCGAGAGGAAATGAAAACGGAGTCCGCTAATGCCATCAAGCACAAGTTACTTTGCACCAGTGCTCGAATGCCTTCGAAGAGTGCCTCTCAAATGGCTATGCTGCTCAACAAGCCTATCATATCTCCGCGCTCGGAGCTTGCAGATTGTCCTGAGGTTGACACCAACGCCAACAATGCACCAACATCTCCGAAAGGAACGTCTTTAATAGTGCCATCCCCTCGAAACCGCAAGTGGATATGGTCTGTTGTACTTTCGATCAGCCAAGCACATAATTTACAGTCACGAGAGCGCTCGTGCTGTCGATGGGAGTGCCACTACACGCTGCTTAATCAACGACGTTCTGCACTGGAACGGCTGCCAGTAAGCTGCAGAACTCGACCGGGAGCTCTTTCTACCTCTGCATCAGTGGACGCTATCTCATCACACTTAAGCTCCGTTTATTCTCCACTAGAAGTGCAATTCAACTGCACGCACAAGTTTTGGCTAACAGGGACGACGCTAATGGTCCAAGCTTATCTCCGAAACAATCCGGAGCTTAGACTTTACTTCCGCAACGACATGTACGCATCGACACGATCTGAATCCGAAGGAGAGTTCTACGGAGTCTTAAGACTCTCGAAACTCCTCGAGAATCGAGGCTTTGACACCACAATCGACATTCTCTCTGTTCACAAGGACAACAACATCACACCGAGGGAAGCAGCCGCCATTTCAAGAATGTCGCCGTACCTGTCACTCTCCATGCAACTTACACGAGGGTCAATCGACCCCGACGAAGCCATTGCAGATAATAAGTTCGTAGAACTCGGTTGCACAGTCGAAGGCCTGCAAGTGCTCCGGAAAGTATCATAATAATCATAATAAAACCACAACTTCAACTTCGTGTCTACGGTTGTAATTAAGTGAAAGAACATGGTTGGCTAAAATCTAAAACTAAAAGGACCGATTTTAACCAATGGATTTAGCGATTCCTTGATCTCGAGCCATTCGCCAGTATGAGCTCACTACTGCAGGGTCTCAAGTTCGTGAAGCGCTCGGAGAGCGACGAGAAGAATCCGAAGCGTGAAAAGAAGGACAAAAGCAAGAAGAGGAAGAAAGATAGCAAACACGCGAAGAAAAAGCACAAGAGCAAGCACAGAGACGCGAGCAGCAGCGAAGAAGAAGACGATGTAGAACTCAAACCGACCGATACCAAGCCCGCTTTACCGCGGGACGAGTGGATGTCTATGCCCTTCATGAGGCCCGAAGCGGAACCTATTGAGCCAGCCAAAACAGCCGACGAGCTTCAGGCTGAAGCCAAGCAGAAAAAGATCCAGGAAGAGATCGATGCTGGCATGAGGGAGCCTGTGACTGGGATGGTCTATGGACTGTATGACCCTAAGAACCCCGACGCTCCACCCTCAGTATCTAGTAAAATAGTTCGAGGGGAAGAAGAGGAGAAAGATGCAGACATGAAGGCAGAAGACGAGGAAATGCCGATGTTTGGAGACGGAGGGGCGAGTTGGCGGGCCAAAATGTTGAAACGAGCGGAGGATAAGGCACGAGCTTCTGGTGTCGCATTGGAAGATGTTGTGGGCGAGAGATTTGGCTCGGTTAATGCACTGAAAGAGAGTTCGAGGGGGTCAGCTAGGGAGAATGCTCATCTACAGTATAAAAGGCATCGGATTGATGACGATGATAAGAAGGTAGGACGAGAGCGACGGACATTGGAGATCGGGCGTGATGTGAAGGATAAAACGTTGCTGTCGAAGTATTCGACGAGAGTGCAGCGGTCCGTGACGCAAAACATGGAAACAGATAGCGAACGTGATCAAAGGTCTACGCGTAGAGACAACCGAGACGAGGAGGAAGAACCGATCAACTACGATAAACTTCCTGACTTTGAAGACCGTGGCTTCAGGTCGAATCGGGAACATCGTCATCGTGGTAGACATGCTCGCGAGTACGGTGACAGAAGCTCTCGAATACGCAGCCGTAGCTACAGCAGAGAGCGATCAGATCGTGCGAAACGTCCACGACGATTGAATAGACGTTCTCGCTCTCGATCCCGACACCGTTCTCGGTCGCCAGTTCGAGATGCCAAGCCCGGCCGTGGCCGGCCGGAAAGAAGCGCATCATCGAAGCCTGAACAACGTTCACCACCAGCTCCACCAGCAATCAAAGAGAGCGCTCCATCTCCTCGTGTCGATGAAGGGAAAACCGCAGCAGACAAACTTGAGGCGGAAAAAAGAAATGCCTTCCTATACGGCAACAAGAAGCCTGTCAATCTCACTACAGAAAACGTATCGGATTCCCCTGACACGAAAGTGCAGAGCTCTCCTACAAGAAGCACCACGTCTGCTCTGTCAGCGAAAAGCGGTGCTGATAAAGTGGATGAAAAGGCCGAGCTGAACAAGTTAGCAGCCAAAGCCTTGCGGGCTCAAATGATGGGCAAGACTGCTCTGTTCCGCAAGTTGACGGAGCAGCTCAACGAGCTGGAAGCCAAGCTGGAACGTGAGAAGACAGCTGCTGCCATTCCTCATTACGAGGCGATCACTGGAGCCCTGCCGCCGCTAGAGAAAGAAGACATGCGCTATGGATCCCGAAAGGGTAAGAAGAAACAGGCAGACCCCATGGATATTAACGGGCCAGACCTGGCTGCTTCACTTGAAGAGTTGGTACGTGAAGAGCGCATGTCAAGCACAAGAATTGGCCAAGGCAACATGGATTCTGTCCATGCACGGAATATTATTCGACTCGGCTCGCGCTACAAGGGAACGGAAGTGAACGCCCAGAACCTTTCGAGTGGCTTTGACGAAGAGGATCAAGTGGATACGAAGATGCTGCAAGAGCCTGGATCGAACCTTACTCGCCGCGCGCAAGCTCAGCGCGACCACTCTGTTGCCGTCAATGAAAGTAAGCGATGGGACGAGAGGACACAGAAGTGCCAGCTGTGTATGAAGAGCGTCGCCTTCAAGAAGCATTTGATGCTGTCCTTAGGTGAATTTACGTATCTAGCCGTGCCAAACCGACCTCGCTTGCATCCTGGACACTGCGTGATTGTACCAATCGAACACACGTGCTCTACCGTCCAAGCTGATGAGCAAGTGAGCGAGGAGATCTCACGTTTCCAGAGTTCTCTTTTGGGTATGTGCGAACAGCAATACGGCATGAGTATGGTCTTTATTGAGCAAACGAGCGCTCCTTATCGAAAGCGACACACTGTGATCGAGTGCATTCCCGTGGACTCTGAGCTGGCATTGGATACCCCGTTGTACTTTAAGCAAGAGCTAATGCAGGCTGATGGAGAGTGGAGCACGCACAAGCCGATCATTGACACGAGCAAAGGAGGGATTAAGAGTCACGTTCCACCCACGTTCCCGTACTTCCACATCGAGTGGCGTACGCCACAAGGACGAGGAGGATATGTGCATGTGATCGAGGACGACAACAAGTTCCCGCGTGATTTTGGCGTCAATGTCGTGGCTGGTATGCTTGATGTGACCCCACCGAAGTACGGAAGACGTGAGGGTCATCGCCGCTCGCTCGAGGATGAAAAGCGCGACGTGCTGGCGTTCCTGAAGAGCTGGGAAACTTTCGACTGGACGCAGGTGCTTGATGGCGGAGAAATCAAGCAGCAAAGCTGAGACGATGGTACAAGACAAAACCTCAGCACTTATAATCCATGCAACCAATTCGCCGCACATATTACTCAAGAAGTGGAGTCAAACGCTGGCAGTGGGGATGGTCGACTAGAAATTCATAGGCGCTGCCGTGCGTGAGATGTTCGCCAAGATGGCATTGTCGGGGTAACTCGTGGCAGGAATGAATTTGTACGCTGTTTGCAAAAAGAATCGTAGATGCTACAGGCCATGCATTTTCGAGAAGGGATAAGTATAATCTCAGCTTACAGAAAACAAGTACTTTTCGTACCAGACTCGCCATGTCATTTAAATCTGCATACAACGAACATAACCCAGCAAGTCAACTTCTCACATTTTGCACAATCCTTCCTTCCAGCTAGAATTACCAATAACATAGTAATTCAACACGCACCTGCAATGTCACTGGAACAAGCCACTGCCCTCCCAGACCAAGACATCGTTCATTCAACACATTATCTGATGTATTCGTTTAAACATGTGAACAACGTTTCTCATATCTTCTGAGAAGTGCTGGCATTGAGATTCCGTCTAGCTAACATTCAAACGAGCATGGAGAATAAGCTGGCCTCCTTCAGACGATCGAGGGATCCACATCAGTAGAGAACCACCTCCCGTACCAGGCAGACCGAAGAGACCAGGGCGCCAGCGATCGAGGTACAATGTCTTGTCCCCCAGTTTCTCTACCGTAGACGTCCACGTGACGTTGCCGTTAGCAGGCACCTTGACCTCCTTGAGCTTGTCACCACCAGACTTGATCACCACAGACACATCGTACTTGTCAACACTCTCGAAGTAAACCGTGACGGAGCCATCGCCCTTCTTCTTCCACACACCGTAGCTTCCCAGGAATGCTTGGTCGACAGTATTGAGACCCAGAGCATCATACAGAGTACCGTCGTCGATCTCACCCAGGTACTCACTGGGACCACAAATGGGCTGAACAAATTCGGAAGCCATCCAGGCAATACCCGTAGGATCTAAAATGGACAAGACGAAGAGACCCAAGTTCGAGTACTCGAGTGCCTTCTCCTTCTTGGTCACGGACTTACCCATGTCGGTCGTACCGTCCTCAATCAGCTGGTCAACAATCACACCGATCGTCTTTCGCAACAGGTTTCGCGTTTTGTACGCCGCCGCACTCGTCTTATTCTTCCAGATCTCCCCCATACAGTGGTTGGTGACGACCGGGATGTCTTCTGTGATGATGGGCGACTTGCTAACGGCGACGCGCACATCATTCGGAGCAGCATTGGGCGTATTGTTGCGGATTTCGTAGACCTTGCCCATGACGCGGTTCGTGAGGGTTCTCAACTCGTAGCCACACGTACCGTTTTTAGTGTTGAGGAACGTGTCAAGCTCGATAGTGTCGCCGTTAAGCGCAGTAGTGTTGAGAGCGCCCGACTCACGAAGCATGAGCATGACGTTGTTCGAAGAAGCGAAAATGGTCTCACCGATCATGACAGCCATCATGACAATTGCCGACACTACAGTCAGTATGGTGGCCGAGAACTTGAGCTTGTGAGGGATTTTGATGTTGAGGCATGCGCAAATAGCTAGGGGCAGGTCAAGAATGACGATCTGCAACTGGAAGGCCTTGTCCATCAGCTTCTCTGTGTCGGTCGTCGGGATCGTGGTCTGCTTGTAACGCAGATAGTAAATAAGCGACTTGACGGCATTCACGACGTTTATAGCGCAGGTGAGAGCGAAATTGGCAGTCTTATAGGCGGCCACCAGTGTACCGAAGATACCCATCGTAGCCGCATTTAGAGCGACAGCAATGACTGCGGAAACTTTAGCGACAACCAACTGGGTGCAATCAGCGTTTTGAGGCATGCACTCCATCAAGCAGTCAAGGGGGTAGTTCAGAGGGCACTGGGTGACGCACTGGTCGTCGTCCTTGTTAAATCCCGACGGACACACGCCCTTGCTGCTGACATCGACTTTCTTCTGGTAACATGAAGTGTCACTCGCTATTTCAAGAGGACCCACCCAGTTTCGAATAGTGGTGTCGTAGTTGTAAATGTCTGGAGAGCCTTTGCTGCTGATTGCCATCACATCCGTGACTGCGAGATCCGTAGCTGATTGTTTTGTAAAAATCCCACCAATACAGAAAATACCAGAACTGCTCGCACGGCCGTAGAAACCGGCAAGCTGGTAGTTCTTGGGCGGCTTGATTACAGCAGCGTTGCCCGTTTTCGTTCCCGTGGCGATCGTCTTACCGCCAGAAGTTTTCATCTTGATGTAGAAGATGCATGTCTTGCCCTTGTTCTTGTCCCAGTGCACTTCAACGGAGTCAATAGTGTCGCCCATCGCCGGCTCAATAAAACCCTCCGTTCCGCCTTTACCACCATGGACGAGGTTACCAACAGCTTCCTGAGTCATCACCATAATACCAATAGCGTCCACGCGCTCCTGGCCGCGTACAGTGATGTTAAGGATCATCTGACCGAACTTGATGTTCTTGATGTCCGAGAACGCATCACCGTGCTCCTTACCACCGTACAATTCACCAAGAATAATATCATCGTCTTCAACAGTGTTGTTCTGCGGAGTGCTGGGGTCTCCGAAGAGGTCAACAGCACTACTTCCCGATCCGAACATGCTGCCGAAATTTTTCATGAAATCTTCAAAGCTGAGCATGCTACCAGAGGCGTCGACTCCCGAACCCAGCAGGGCCGCTAAGGCTGCGTCAGTTCCGGAACCACCGGTGCTGCCGAGCAGACCCGATAAGTCACCTTCACTTCCCGATCCAGCCGAGCTACCGAGCAGGTCGGACACATCGTCGCTTCCCGACGCAGTCGAGCTGCCTAGTAGGCCCGACAGGTCGTCACTTCCCGATTCAGCCTCCGATTCAGACAATGAAACAGCAGCTGCGGCGGGCTTCTTGGTCTTCTTGATAGTCTTCTTCTTCTTGGGGGGCGCGTCACTTCCAGAACCGCTGTCTTCGATATCTTCGCTCTCTTCGCCCCCTGACGCGGACGTAGACGCGGAGGCAGCCACCACAGGTTTTTTTGTCTTCTTTTTCCTCTTCGGTGTAGTTTCAGCTGCATCGCTGCCAGAGGTACTGGCTGAAGACGATGTGGAGGTCACTGCGGCAGCGGGCTTCTTCGTCTTCTTTGTCTTAGGGGTAGTGGCAGAGCTACCGGCGCCCGCCGTGCTTCCATCGGCTTCCGAGGCAGTCTCGGTGTCTTTTGTGAACTCTCCTAGCATACTGCCGTACTTTGACATCAGGCTACTGGTGGATGGCCGTGCAGCCGTGCCGGGGATCGGCGTCGTAGTTGCAAATTCTCCCGAAGTTTCTTCAGCAGCCGGGGTCGCGCCTGAGGGTGGCGAAGCCGGAGCCGGGGTTTCATCGTCATTGCCGAACCAGTCGAAGAAGCCACGCTCTTCCTGTTTCTTAATATTCTCGTCTTGTGAATCCGGTATATTCGGCGGGGCTATGGTACCCAACTTGTCTTTTGAAGAGAGCTGAGTATTCTGAAAGTTTTCTGTAATCTCGACGCCTTTCGCCGAAATACAACACTGAAGCACCTGCAACATCAATGCTGCTTGCAGTATCAGTCTCACCGCCCCGAGCATTATGCTTGTACTTCTTGGTCTCCGGTGCGGTAGTCTGGGAAAGTAGCGAACTGGCTTGTGTCGCTCTCAGAATAATGCAGAATGTGGCGGCAAATCTCATGCTGTATGGCAAAAGAGAATTCTCTTTATAATGATTCAGATACCCATTATTAATATAATTGAGCTGTAAAAATGAAGAAACGGTTTTGGACATGAATTGACTTTAACGTGTGTACCTCCTATAGCACTGTAGTTCACATTACTGCTTTAATGTTCAGCGAACACGAACGTGCACATGGAACAAAACTTCTGTGCTCTCTTTTCCAAAACAAACTTCACAGGTTATGTCAAAGGATTGTATGGTGGTACAGTGCGTTTGACCAGCCTTGGGATGTTTTGGTAGGTTATAAACGAAGCACCCGAACGTTTGTTTGTATAGACCAGATCTACAACAAGTCTAGAGTATATGGAGCCAAGAAGGAGTTCGAAGGAGTTTAACGTGGACTACCAGAGTAGAGTGCACACGTAGTTATCGAACTTTTAAGAGTCAAACGTTAAAAAATTTTTTGCGTTTTCTTGGTTTTGTTTTTTTAGATTGATATAATGTTCTTTTTATTTGCACACACAATCCATTTTTGTCCGACCCGTTGCTTAGTTCTGTGTTTCTGCCATAATCTCTGTGCTTCAACCAATCTTACTCCGTGTTTTTCTTCCTATTTGTGTACTATTATATAAGCATGTATGTGTATATATACAGCAGCAAAATTTAGTTGCATGGCCAACACCAGCATGATTCCGAACACTCATTAGGGTCGTAAACCTTCGTTTCGATGTGATTACGAACACTCTCCGGGGTCGTAAACAACTTTATAACGTGATTTCGAACATACTGCAATCCACCTCCAACGCAACAGCACCCGACAAGTTGTCGGCGACAACACGACAGTACAACTATTGGAACTAGAATAACTTGTCTCTGCAAAGCAAATGACAGGGCAAACCGCCAGCACACCACCAGCTGTAATGCCAAGTAGCAGTATAGTGTTGGTACAATCAAGCTATATCGGCAATACTTTAATAACCAAACCATACCCCACAAGCCTACAATAGATACACCAAATGAAAACTCACTGTCAAATGTTGCGTAAAAATATAAACTGACGAGTATTGATGACAACACCAGGAAACCTTCCTCAATGAATGCATACTACATTGAAACACAAGTATATGTACGATTAAAAAAAAGTTGGGGTTACCACCTAGTGATAACTAGACTGAGAAGCAGAAGTATACATGTCGTAATGCCATCCCGTAGTAGGTAGTACTTGCTGTTTTGAGTCAACCCGAAAATCTACTGCTACTAGTAGCAGATAATACTGATGCACTCAATAGTTTAGTCTCTGCCACTTCCCAGCATATCACCAACTACACCCTCCGACGTAAGTAGAGCTTGTCCTAGCACGACTGACACGTCAGAGATTCTCCCAAACAGCTGAAGCATGGGCGAAACTAAGTCGATGTTGGGCTCTAGACGTATGATACGGCCATTGTCTTCAGCAAAGAGAAATGTCACGGTACAGTTGCAGTCAATACGCTGACCAACGAGTTTCTTATCCAGCATCGGCACTGTGTCGTTCGGGGTTTTGAGATGTGGGAAAACCCATTTCACCGTAAATTCCGTGATGGACACACTGAGCGTGGCAACTGCAAACACGACGCCTGGTGTTACAGCCTCAACTCGCTTAAGTTCGACATGAGGTTCCCCGAAATACAGTGAGTAGCGTCTCCACTGGTCCATGAGTGCATTGATACCACGTAATTCGCCCATGGCCACGTCATGAACCAGGGATCTCTGCATGAACTTAAGGCTCTGTCGCGTCTCCGGGTGCTTCATCATCTCCCCCATGCTCGCCAGTCGCCAGGGAGATCGGAAGCCGTCTTCTAAGAGATGAAACACTTCTCCAATAATGGTCCATGGGCTTTGGTTGGTTTTTCGCTCGAACCGGATGCTCTGTCTCTTCAGTTCGAGCCCTTGGATCTCCTCTTCCACTCGCTGCTTTTCCTGTTGGAGATTGCGTCTCCAGATTCGCTGTCTTTTTCGATAACGAGCTTGGTTCACTCGACATTGCTCGCGTCGAACGGCCCGCTTGTCCATTAGGGTCGGTGTCGTCTTCGGGTGGAATTTGGGATGCATTGTGGTCAGAGCTTCGGTCATTACTGTTTCTGACTGCTTCCGAATCGTAATATGCCGAATGGTCTACCAAGAGAGTGTTAAAAGAGATCAGGATTGGTGGTACTCCGCAACACGAGATCACTAACTTATAGTGTCGACGAGAACGCTCTGCTTAAGGGTTGAACTGGATTGTTGTCACACGACTAGGCCCCGATACGTGGCAGTGTGCGTAGTTGTTGAGATTGTAAACTTTGCAAATGAATGAAATCCCCACACTCGTGAACTTTGCTAACATGCCCTCCTGGGGACCGACAGTTTCGAGGTGTGTGTACACATCTTCAAATCCATTCGGAGCTTCAACTGCATTAACTTTAAGATGTACCATTACTATAATTGAACTGTATTGATCGCCAACCAACCAGAGACGTGTTCGTGCTACCAGCAGCCGTGAATGCATCTGTGTGCACTAATTACAGAAATAGTAAAATGTTTCTGATTGGCAACGGTGAAAATCTTGAAACGCAATGTTGACGTTTAGCAACATTGAAAGTCAAGAGATTTGTGATCGGTACTTGATATATTGTCCGAATAACTCCATGCTTGTAATCAAAAGCATTGAATCTTATGGCAAAATCGAACATTTACTTAGCTAATGAATGATCTGATACCGCTGGAAAGAAAACAGCAGCAATACCAAGTCACAAAAGCATGCTAACATGTAAATTCCCAGAGTAGGACGCGGACGATCTAGTTCTGCACCCTTCGAGATAATCCGTTGACGGTAGAATCACGGTACGTCCACCCTGGGTGATTCTCCTTATGAAAGGAACAGAGTTGATTGCGCTGTCCAGCCAGCAGCAGCTGTCATACTCAGTATATATTCATTCATGCAAACAAATAAATATTGCTAATCGTTTGGTCGAAACTTATGACATTTTTACCAACATGGTGTACAGGGCACCTGATCCAGGTTAGGAGATTCATATTTAATAAAAATGTAGGCCAGTATAATAAACTTGTGTACTACGTAAATTTAATGATACTAT